TTAAAGGTTTTGGATAGAAACATATAATGTAAAGATTGAATAGATAGATAAGATAGATAGATAGATAGATAGATAGGATGATAGATAAAGGTCATCTAAATATATACTGTTGGATGAGTGGTATTATACGTAAAGACACGAATAGATAGATAGAAGATGATAGATAGATAGACAGATGATTCGGAAAGATAGATAGATAAAGATAGATAGATGATAGATAGATGTTTAGATAGATAAAGACATGATGGATACAGGCATGCATCTAAAGATGAAGCCCCTGATTAGATTTTGTTTTTGAGAAAATATTTGTTAATCAGGCAAGTTTTACTAATTAAATCACGCTGTCTCAATACCCTTTTCAAAACAAAGAAGGTCTAAATCAGTTTGCTCTGTTTTGCACCCTAATTTTAGGGTAGAACCTATTTAGCTGAACCATACTACTGCAACAAAAACACACACAAACACATACACACGCATATATATATATATATATATATATATATATATATATATATATATATATATATATAACAGATCGAAAAAAAACTATAAAAGTATTCGAAAAAATTATAAAGTTTCTCTTGAGGAAAATATAATTATAATCACATTCCCAGACCAATAGAAATTACTAAATAAACGATTAGAACTAATCTCAAAATACAGCCACAAAAGGAAATTTTTAATACATTACTTAAAATTCGAAATCTAAAAACGAATACTCTGTAAAATACCTCCATGAAATACTACAGATATACGCGCTGTATACAGCTCAGATAATGTAAATCACTTTAGACAAATGGTTCCCAAACGATTTTGGGCCATGCCCAGCTTTGGTATTTCTAAGAATCTGGTCACCCCGTCTAATATTTCATTATTACATGTATGCCAATTTCATATGTGCGTACATTACACACAAATTATTTTTATGTACGCATTCTTTATATGTATCTTATGAAATATTATCTGTTAAAACTCAAAACTCATTAGAAAACGATTCACTGTTTTTATTCTTTTATTCTGTTTGTATAAACTGAAGAGGAAAATCCTACGTATCAGTCGGACCCTGTGCCCCACCGGTCGCGCATGCCCAACCTGAATGGATGCTTAGACGAATAAACTTTAAACTAAACAAATAAGATTAACCTAACAGGCAAAAAAAAGATATACAAAGTAAAATGAATAAATAGATATGTACATAATAAACAAATAGATAGAAATGAAATGAACAAAAAATAAATGATAGATAGATAGATAGTAATCCTGATGATAGATAGATAGATAAGATAAGCAAAATAGGGATAGATAGATAGATAGATAGATAGATAAAGGTAAGATGCGAAATGATACAAAATACGACAATTTGATACTAATAATGGTTGGATAGGAGACACAATTATATATAAGAATAAAGACACGAATAAAATAAGAGATAGATAAATAGATAGATAGATAGATAGATAAGATAGATAGATAGATAAAGATAAGATCAGATTTTATCGAACAAAAAGGTTATGAGTTGGATAGGATAGGCATATATACGTAAAGAATCACGAATGGATTGATAGATAGATCAATAGATAGATAAGATAGATAGATAGATGAGATGAATAGATAATCTAAAGCGTGTGTTTCAGATAAATAAGGAACATGGTTGGATAGAGACACGCATATATACGTAAAGACACAATGAATAGATAGATGATAGTAGATTAATAGATGAAGATAAATGATTAATGTTAACGAAATACGATAGATAGCGATAGATATAAAGATCTAAAATCATTTCTAATCAGATAATTTAAAAGGCATGGTTGGATGGAGACACGTCGATTTGATATATACGTAAAGACACGAATGGATGACATAGATAGATGAGATAGATACGATAGATAGATAGATAGATAGATAGATAGATAAAGGTCAAGATCAGATATTTCAAAGGCATGGTTGGATAAAGATTCCAGCATATATGCGTAAAGACACGAATAATATAGATTGATAGATAGATAGATAGATAGATAGATAGATAGATAGATAGATAGATAGAAGGTGGCTATACACAGATAGTATCTGTCGGGATAGATAGATAGATAGATAGATAGATAGATAGATAGATATATATATAAATATATATATATATATATATATGCATCTAAAGATGAAGACCCGATTAGATTTTGTTTTGAGGAAAATATTTGTTAATCAGGCAAGTTTTAAACAAAACTAATTAAATCACGTAATGTCTCAATACCCTTTTCAAATCAGAAACTTCCAATCAGTTTGCTCTGTTTTTGCATTCTAATTTTATAGAACCTATTAAAACGGCTGAACCACTGATGATCCGCAAATCAACAAAAAACACAATGGGGAAACACATACATGGAACCATATATATATATTTATATATATATATATATATATATATATATATATATATATATAACAGATCGAAAAAAAAACTATAAAAGTATATCGAAAAAATTGTTTTGAAAATTTTCTCTTGAGGAAAATATATTTTTATAATCACTTATTCCCATACCAATATAAATATATAAATAGTTTTTTTATTAGAACTGGAAATCTCAGGGAAAATACAGTTCCACAAAAGGAATTTTTTTTAATACATTATCGGATAATTCGAAATCTAAAACGAATAAATTTTAAAATACCTCTAAGTTGAAATAGTATAATATATAGATATATATATATATATATATATATATAATATAAATCGTACATTTAGACAAATGGTTCAAAACGATTTTTGAAGAATATATATTATATTTCTTTAAGTATTTCTAATAAAACTGGTCAAATCGTCTAATATTTCATAATTAGTTGTATTTCTTCAATTTCATATAACTGGTGATTAATGGATTTTATAAATTATTTAAAACAACGCATTCTTTTTATGAATGTAATTTATATCCTCTTAAAATTTTTAAGATAGATATTTCTCACATGTTTTTATTTTATTTTATAACAAAATAGTAATGATAAAATATATTATATATATATATATATATTATTTTATAAAGGAACAGTAAGATATATTCTGTTTGTATAGATATTTTTTTATTTTTACAAAATACGTATGTAAACGAAAATATTAATATATAAATTAATTGATTTAAAAAATATTTTAAATCAATTAATAATAAAGACGAAAACAAACATTTGCATATCATTTTCCAAATAGTACAGGTAAAAAACCCAATAAGGCAAAAACATTATAAGAAATTATCTAAATGAATAAATACGCTAATTAAAAAACACATAATAAACAAATTACAAAACAAAACTAAAAATTTTCTATAATGAACAAAAATAAATGATATTCATAATGCAAATCGAATAACAAGTGACCGTAATTCGTACGATTTTGAAATAAATTTAAGGAAGAATGTTTTCGTATAACTGAAAAAATCAAAATTAAGGGGAGCGCACCTGTTTCAGCTTAGAATAAAATTTTCACGCAATGCGATTGAATCCTGTTGGAATGATAAAGGTCCTTTTCTTGTTTTGATTGGAAATGACAAACTCACCACAAACAGGTTTTTATTCAACTAAGAATCAAGCGCGTTTACTCCATAATAGTCCCAGTAAACACAATTAACTCTCTCAAAGAAATTAACAAAACAACTCTTGTAACAAAATTAAAATTAATATTGTATTCAAAACTAAATTTTGAATAATTTATGTTTTAAGTAAAACATTTCCTTTAAAATTTTTTTTAACATTTCACCTCAAACAAGGTAGATTGCACTATTTAATCGAACAAAACAAATTACTGAGGCGTGCGCAGTAGGATGAATATAAGGACCGGTTTTAGATTAGAATCGTGATGATTGAAATTGCATTTAAATTTCTTCAATTACAGCTTGGAGAGAAGCAAGTAAGAGGAAGGGATGTTGAAAGACGGAAGGTACAATCTAAAGCTGTGTGTTTTTATACCAAAATCAGGATATATATATTATATATATATATATATATATATATATATATTATATATATATATATATATATATGTATGTATGTAATATATGGATGAAGGCGTATTCGAATTTTGATTTGCCAATAAACAAATCAATCACGAATGAAAAAACTTATTAAAAAAAGAAAGAGCCAGGAAGATGAAAGTATGTCAAAAAAATCGCAAGATACATTTCTAAGCCCAAAGAAAAATTTACGACACGATTAAACAACTAAATGGACTCTAAAACCGTAGTCGATTTAGACACCTAGTGATCAGACAAACCTACCCAGGTTTCAGTTAACAATCCGCTTAACTGAAACCTGGGTAGGTTTGTCAGCTGGCTAGGTTTATCTATCTATCTATGCATCTATCTAGTATATATATATATATATATATATATATATATATATGTCATTCAAACATGTTTAGGCTTTTCAATTTGGAAAAGTATTTACTTATTATTAACTAATAATTAATCTATACATATATAAAGGATAGTTGTCTGTATGTATGTGTCTGGATAAAACTAAAAACTATAATTGGTTATGACAAAGTAAGTATATATACAGACTCATTATCACCTTCGTCAGGTTTTTTGTAAACAAATATCATCGAAGGATTTTTACAGAAGTATTTCAAAATTAAACTGCATTAGTCCAGAATGAAAAGGTAAACACGAACGTTAAGAATTTGCTTATTCTCGAATGGGAGGACCAGCCCATTTGACTTTTCTATCCTGACTGCTTTATTCAAGAATGTATTTCCAAATATATATATTTGCGTTTATATATATATAGTAAATAAATATATATATATATAAAAAATGAATATATAAATATATATAAATTTAAAAAGAAAAATTAAATACAATTATTTGAGAAAACCTGAATTTATTTATTCAAATATTCCAGAAAACATCAATAAATTAAAAAAAAAAACGAAATTAATATATGCTTAAGCAAATTTAATTCAACATTTTTTTTGCCAAAAAATATGGCGAATAAACTTCTTCAACAATAAATATTTTTATTCTTTTATTTTTGGGGGACTGCGGAAAGTGAATAAACTTAAATTAAAAAAACAAAAATATTTAAATTGAATTTACTTTCACATATCAAACAAAAAGTAAATCAAAATGATGAAAAACAATCGTTTTAAAACGGCAATATTTGAAAAAAGTTGTCTGATGATTCAAATATTCAGTTTTTTTAAAACGGCGCGCGTCTGTGAAATAAAATAAGACAAACCATGGAACCTTAAAGTGCAGACAATATAAAAGAAAATATTTAAAAATATATATATATATATATATATAGAAAATCTGTGTCTGTGTGTGTGTAGTTCAAAAATGATCGTTTTTCGGCTTTCTTGTAAAACAAAACATTAGACCTCTTATGTCGCGAATTGGAATCATATTTTAAATAAATAATTATATATATATATATATATATATATATATATATATATATATAGATTTTTATTTGTGGTGGAAATTCAAAAGGGAATGGATGTTTTTTGAACCTGTTCCGACGTTTATTAGTCCTTTTATAATAATTTGTAAGTATATACAAATTCAGGCAGTTGTTTGTATTTGTGTGCGTGTATTATTGATTTATTAATATTTTTCGGCCATCTTATGGAAAAGAATGTGTTTATTTAATCTTTAAAAAATAAAGCTCATTGTTTTTTTTTGTTGGTTGGTAACTAATATAAAAAAATAAATAATTTTCAATTAAGTTTTATTAAAGCAAAGAAAAAATATAGCGAGTCTTTCTTTTCGAAAATTAATTTAATTAAAATAAAATAATAAAAGTTAAATTCGTAAAACAAATATTCAACACGACTAATGTTGGCCGTAAGTCATGTCCGTCTCTTAATTTTTATTTAACTAAAGTTTTTCTTTCCTTTTCAAATATGGATATAACTTGACATTTAAACAATCGCTTTTCAAAACTAAATTCTCAATGTATCTTGCTTGCTTCTACTATCTTTCAAAATAGTAATTAAATTTATTTACAGGTAATTGTTTAAAAATAAAACTTCATTTACTTAAAAATCTAAATTCCCATCTAAAATAAATATTAAATAATTATTTTTCGAAGAAGTAAGGCCCACTATAATTTTTGCTTGAAAATATAACTTAATTCAAGTTCATTTACATCTTTTATCAATAATAATTTGGAAAAAAGGTTAATGAAATTTATCTAAGTTTGATTTATGTTAATATTGAAAACGAAAAACAAAGTGCTTTTTTAATGAAAATATGAAGATGCCCAGCCTATATATGTAATATCTGATTTAACTATAGGAATAATAATTATTATACGTATTTGTTATTCCTCGCATTGAGTTCAAAATACGTACGGTTATAAAATTAGCCTTCAGTTATTTATTCATTAACCATCAAGTAATATCAGCTTCACCTTTCAAGTTGATCTTTATAGAAAATTTTCTAATATATTGTATTGAATTGTAGTGTAGTGTATATGTTTTTTTTTTTATACATATTTAAATTTATTTCATAATGTTCTTATAATGTATCACGGATATTTATTACTTTTCACACATAATAGTTGGAATATGATATACAAGTGTTTCTTTACCTACACGGATATATATAAGAATGTCTATCGAAAGCAAATAGTGAATGTTATATTAAAATAGCCGTAAAAGCAGAAAAACGTCCCTAGCTAAAAATATATACATATATTGTCTAAATTAACATATATATATATAGTCACTCCCCCGACAAATTCAATGTATGAGGGTCAAGCAGATCAGTTTCCAGGAAACCGACAGCGACACATGAGATTTGATTAGAGTGGCGATGACTTCGTGCAGGACCATCCACACTTTTTGAAGTGCCGAATACAGAGACCTGGTGCACTAAGTGCCACAGCGTCCCCAAACGACCCTCCGCAGATTTCGAATTCAGAGTTGTCCTTCTCCTAGCCATCCAAGGCTATAGAACCCAGTCTGTCCTGCTATTTTACCCTTAGCTGGAGGGAGAAGAAGAGGATTCGCTCTTTCCCAAGGGTATTAGCACGTAAGTGAATGTAATGGATTCGAGTGGAATTCGAACTCGGCTCTGCGATTCCTCAATCCAAGCCGCTATCCATTACTCCACCGTGCCTCCTCTCATGTACATATATTGTCTAATTTTTATGAAATTTACCATTGCACTTGGAAATTGTTTGTATTAGGTTGGTGCAAAAATAATGACGTAATAATGTCGTTTTTGACGTATTTTTTAACGTCAAAAAACGACATTATTACGTCATTATGTTTGCACCAACCTAATAGTATTATGTAATGTTTACTTACACTGCATCTGTGGAACACTAATGCATACATACAAGCTTAGAATTTTAGATATTGTGTCTATGTTAATAAATTAATATTATTAGGTTTTGGCTTTTTTGTTTTTATTAATAAGGCTGCCATTATTTTTAGCCGTTTTTGCATGTAGATGATGCTATTATATTAGTGTTGTCAACAAGTATGTTACGAATAGTAACTCTCTCTCCACTTTTCTGACCATAGCTCAATTAGATTTAATTTACATATCTATGAAGACATACCGGACACTATTTGCTCAATCACCATAGGAACTCACCCGTAATGAACGTGGGCGGGTCCGTCTGTCCAACTAAACCTCCCCGGAAATATTCTGTACCACCTCAACGTCACTACAACACAACTCAAACATGGATATGACAGTGAGTACGCAGAAACCCTGGCCCGAGAACTTTCCAGTGAAAACAATTCCGCGTAGGTCTGGACTGCATTTTCTTCCCCGTCACCATTCAATCCTACATATACCAGAATACCACATATTCATTTGGGACCTACGAAAAACTCCATGATGTAAAAATTTCTTTATGTACAAATGTTCAATGTCTTTAATTTTTCCCCCCATTTTTCTTATCAAAATACATCAAAATTTCATGAATCATGAAATGAGGTGGGCGGAGATGAACCCAAAAGCGAATTAAAAATATAACAAAATCAAACTAAAACATAACAGATATTAGCAGGACTCGACTACCCATCAAAATCTTAAGTGTGGCCGCTTTATACTGCTGTTCGGCAGAATCAAGAAGTATACTCACTAATGGAGTGGGAAGGAAAAAAAATATTGACAAAATGCGAAAATCAAAGCGCTCAATAAAGTCAAAATAAAAAAGGGGACAAAAACAAACTGGGGAGGTTGGAAATCGCAACACGGATCATAACAAAAGAGAATACTGGGAACAGGGCAGTTACAAAACTTACTCGCATTAAGTCGGTAAACAAATAGTTTCTGTCTAAACCTGGATAGAGTTCACAGGAAAGCGCCTTATTACCTCAAAGGAAACTTAAATATAAAATCAAGGTGAGACCTGTTCACACGAATCAGGCTCGCCACATTTACCCACCTTTCGCTGAAATCTGTCGCCAACAAACGCTTTCTATCAATTCTAATCTTCCTCTTGAGCTGATTCCCAAAGAATCCGACCAGATCCTGACGAGAATATCGTTCGTATCGCAAGATTCTCTGCCTCTGCGACGTCCACACCATCATCCTTGCAACGGGTAGCAACGTGAAATACACCATCCGTTTCACCCCAGAGAACAGGGGCGATATATTCTCGCAGGTGTATGCAAGATCAATGCATACGAGATGTTTGAGATCGATACGAGCCGTCAACTCAGGAACATAGTTCCAGAATCGGCACTTTTGACGAATATAGTAGAAGGTGTGAGAAGCGGTTCCCTCTAAACCAAGGCCGCTCTAATGACAATCGGGCTAATCTGCAGGACAGCTGCCAGATACAGTTGATTGACTCTGTCGAAGGCCTTGGACTGATCTGAATTGATCAACAAAGCTTAATCGTCGCATTCCACGCCTTATATTATCGTGCGTTTCAGATACAGGTTGATCTGAATTGTTGGTCCATTCACAGCACGTCTGCTCAGCTCCCAACATTCTCTGCAACTGGCTGCAATTACTTCGTCAGAGGAAAGTCAGCGAAACTCGACGCCACAGAAACCAGGCTCCTTGGTAAAACGTGCTTCGAAATGCCACCGAAACACCTCGTACAGGTCCGGGTAGCGACCTCCCGAATATATCGATCAAAACCTAGAAGGATCTCGTCCTTGTGCAATTCTGCGCCCATATTCACATAATTAAACATTTTGTCTAATCTATGCCTGACTACTTGATGAACTTAGCGCTTACTGGCCTCACGTTCCAGAGCCTGTCTGGCTAAAACTAACTCTTGGGAATCTCCTTCAGACTTAGCCCAGGACAGACTATTCATGAGAGACTTCACCTTCTTAGATTTATCTAGGGTGAGTCATTTGCTATATTGTGTGGTGAAAGTCCTAATGGTATGCTTAAGGCTCTCTGAACACTTATTACCAATAATCGCCCCCCCCCACTCATACCCGTTGCATTAATGTAGTTAGTTCCTGTACCCCATTAATATTAAGTGCGACGAATTCATCAAGAACTGCCACAACCAATAGATAAAGCGACATGCTCTGTCTGATCTTTGGGAGCATAAACCGCAACGATTCGAAACGAAATTGCTCGCGGCAATTTGGCCACAATCAACCGATCCTCCAATATCGAAATGGACAAGGAAACGTTTAACAAACAAGGAAACACCTCTAGCCAGCTTGTCCCCGTATGCTTAGTAGACGACAAAGTCGCTAGATAACACACGAGGAACAACGTCGCAAACAAAGTATATCATGGACTGCGGCCACATCCACCCCGAAGGACAAGAGATCAGGAATCAGGCAGGCAGCCTTACCCCGACCTCTCAAGTTCCTCGCTCTCCAGCTGGCTAGGTTGATAGACATTATCAGAATTCCTTAATGACAGACTGGACGGAAATCCGTGGGTGACAAAATCCGAGACGGATTGTCGTAGACTGCCAGAGCAAATATCGGACATAATTCGCCCATCCAGGACAATACTGGCAACATCCGTAGGGAACGTTAGTTTAAGGGCTTTATATACTGAAGGATGGAGTAACAGCTGGACCCTCCCTGCACACAGTTTTGACTAGGAAAATTTTTAGGGTGTCCCGCTGACGGAAGTTCACTTAAATAACGACCTCAAGAGCTTCTGCGAGGAGAGGTCCCTCTCGGGAGACTTTCTGTCTTCTAAAAGATCTCCTACTTGGGGTAGATGGCCTTTTCTTTATGAGAGTGGGTGTTGTATATAGGGGAGTGAGATGGTGAATAATTACGGGAGGAAGTGGAGAGACCCCTTGCCTTGTTCATTCTTTTCTCTTTGGTGAAGTAGAAGCGGATTGGGATTTAGCGGTTTCCATCGCCCTCTCAGCCCTGCTTCGGCCACACTTTTTGTCTTGCTGTCCTTTTCTTCCGTTTCCTTACTCTCCTTTTTTTAAAGAGGAGGATCGCGATGGCGGCATATCCTCTTACTAAATTCATCAGTCTAACTGTTGCTGCTGGTGTGGTTGCTACATTTGTGTCTACTGCTTCTGCGACTGTTCCTGCTGCTGCTGCTGCTATTGTTGCCGTTCCTGTTTATGTTGTAGCTGATACTAACATGGTTACTGCTGTTTCAGGAACTAGTTATGCTGTTGCTAAATTTTCCGCTACTGTGGGACATCCTGCTAAGGAGTAGGTATCGCAATATTTTGTCCCCTCCTAAAAACTTGCTCTCATTCACCAAGACCATCGGAGGCCTGGCTAGACTTGTCTTTCTCCACTGCTCTCTTTGATGCTGTTGGGTGATGGGTGGTGGCGCCGATTTCCTGCCGAGGAACGCTATCAACAATTGCCCCGTGGCGCCATAGAACTAGCAGTGGGGTCGACGGCCTTCCACAATAGGATGTTCCGGCCCTGGCATGCCAAAATCTTGTAGATAGCCATGAAGCATTTTCGGGACATTGATACATGTAGGATGACCCCCCTCGGTTGCATTGCCCGTTTTCCTCTTTACCGTTATTACATCGCCGACTCTACCATAGTTCGAAAAGAACGTCGCTAAATGGTCCGCGGATATGTCAAACCGCACACCGTGAAGTGTGGTTTTCATCTTCTATGTGCCCAGACATTCTACAGCTTCACCAATTTTTGGTTGAGAATCCTTTCTGCTAATATCCTGGCTTCTTTCACTGTAGTAATGAAGATGTTCCGCATGGTGTTCGATCTTCTGGCCAACATCTTGGGGGCTACACTGAGGCTCTAGAACGCCTCCGTCATTATCTCCCTGCTGGCGCCAATCAATTTATCTTGTTTTTACATCTGTGGTCAGCAGGTAAATCCTCCTAGATGTGAACCCCTCCAGAACAAAAAGGAATTGTCAGAAGTTTTGTTCCCGAATATATAATATTTTTGCGCCTCATAATAACCTGGGCCCTTCTTCGGTCTATCCGCTGCTCATGCCGATTGAATAGCGGGAGATAGTTGTTCGGGCTGCTGGGTGACGCCTCCATAATATCGGGACTCCCAAAACACCACAGCTCTAAATAAAATATCCAAGGATAAAATCACAATGTTAGAAATACAGACAATAAAACTAACAAAAAACGTCTCAGACAATAGACAAACTGAGTCAAAAATAAGTCACTTACTTTGACACTTCACTAGACAATTCCAAAAAGAAAAAAAATCATGCTGGGAATATAAACCCAAAGAAAATTATTGCGAAATATTTTCACTTCCCTTTTTATAGGCAGATGTCCGCAAATGCATACTGGGGTATTTTCTTAGCCAATAAAATAGGCCGGTTTGCAGTTTGACAAGACTCGGTCCAGATCTGCCGTTTCAGCCGGTTTGGGCTGACTTCTTAAACTCTCTGTCCTCGAGCAGAGTGGAACCCACACGAGGCTATGCTGAAAAGCTGAATCACGTCTGGAGGGGGAAGACAAGTCGAATACCGTGTACGGTGAATTTTTGCCGAAGCCTACAGTGTCTGACTCACCCTCCTCATAAAAGGGCCTTGTGCTACATCCTTCCTTGTGGGGAGGCGAGGCAAATAACCTCTGTCCAGATCTGGCTTCACTAGAAGACAGATACCTGCGTTCGTTTGTCCTACTTTGCTTTTCTGTGTCGACGTCAATTCTTAATTTGTGAAATATTCGCCTTCTTATCTATTAATTTACCTTGCATATATTGTTTGCTTGCTTGCTTGGTATTATTTCATTTTTGCCCCTGTTTCTTTTTATTGCAAACTTTGTTAATTTCGTCTGTTGGACAATTCTGTTATTTTTTTTTTCCATTTCTCCATGGCTAATCGGTCAACACTTAGTAAATCGCTTCCTCTTTTAATTCGAGAAGTATTTTAAAATAAATATTGTGGTCAGACTCATTACCGTCAGCAATTTATACATTGACTATGTTGCTTTGAAAAAAGTCCTCTTTTGTGTTCATATAAGCTTTTATTAAATATATACATTGTGTAATGGCAATCTCAGATAGCGTAACGTAAGTTATGTAAGCGCTAGATATACAAAGGTAGATAGGTAGACAGATATACTGTGAAAGCTGGTTGGTTCGTCATCTCAATATGTGAACAGATACGAACAGTTAGAGATTGAAAAATCAATTATATCTCATTATGTAAGTATTACATACAAAGGAGTGGGTTATTTCTCAAAAGGATCAGCACTTCTTCAACCAAGTGCTTAGGAGTGTAGAGGGTAACTTGGAAAGTTAATTACTCATAAAGGGGAAAGTCAGATGCGGTGATTAGATGAATATTGTAGAACGGACGGGATATTTAGCTGAAACAGCAATAACGAGTGTTTTGTTATCCTAATATATGCAAAAAGGAGAAACAACATATAACAATGAGAATAAAGAAGTATTTGTCAATTGTTTGGTTTGGTTTGTTTTACAGTTTGTCAAGGACAATAAGTTATTTAATACAGACAAGATTTTTATTGCTGGCAATATTTTTTTCAAAAATGTATTGTTGGTAATATTGTTTTATTCAAAAGTGTATTCCTGGTAATTTTCTTTTTTTAAAAAAAAATGTATGGCTACTTTAAAAAATTTATGGCTGGTAATTTTTTTTTTCAAAAATGTATTGCTGGTAATATTTCTTTTACAAAATATATGGCTGGTAATATATTTTCAAAAAATTATGGCTGGTAATATTTTTTTCAAAAAATGTATTGCTGGTAATATTTTTTTCAAAAATCTATGGCTGGTAGTATTTTTAAAAAATATATTGATGGTAAGATTTGTCTTTTTTTTTGAAAAATGTAGGGATATTTTCAAAAATTTATGGCTATATTTTTGACAAATGTATGGCTATTTTCAAAAATTTATGGCTGGTAATTTTTTTTTTCAAAAATGTATTGCTGGTAAATTTTTTTTTTACAAAATATATGGCTGGTAATATATTTTCAAAAAATTATGGCTGGTAATATTTTTTTCAAAAATATATTGTGGTAATATTTTTTTTCAAAAATCTATGGCTGGTAATATTTTTTTTCAAAAATGTATTGATGGTAATATTTTGTTTTTCAAATATGTATTGCTTAGTTATAGATATTTTTAAAAATGTATTGCTGGTAAAATATTATGCGAAAAGTTTTGCTTGTACTAAAACCGATTTTTATATATTCACTGGGTTTTGACCACTTGTTTTTTTTTTGTTGGCGCGGGGTAAATATTACCCCATAGTTGGGACCTTGACAGGGTCTACTACTGCGGGTCAGGGTGGACCTGCAATTAAAAGGTCGTTCCACACTCCTCAAAACCTGATCAAATGCCTTCCTGTCGGATATTGAGGACAGACGCGGATGTAGTTTATCGTCTTACTCAGGATGCGGATGTAGTTTGTCGTCATAACCAGGACGGTTTTCAATTAATAATGTATAGGCTTAAGTAAAAAGATATGATATATTAAGCTCTGCATTTTATCGAGCACTTTTTAATAAAATAAATGCCAAAGTAAGTAACCCTTACAACAATGCCTGAAGAATTACAATCATAGTATTGAAACATGAAAGTTTTTGTGTAGCATTTTCAAGATGTTTTTTTTTTATTATAATATCTTGTAATAAAAATATAATAACAATATATTGCTCAACTTGAGCACAATTTTAAAAGTAAATGTAACAAACACTGGATTATTACTCCATCTTTTCTTTCCCTATATATATATATATATATATATATATATATAGAGAGAGAGAGAGATATTGATATTGATATATATATATATAATTATTTATTTAAAAATATGATTCCAACACGCTACATAAGAGTTCTCTTGTTTCAAAACTCGAGCCGAAAACTTCAATATAATTATTGGAATTAAATTGAATTAAAGTACTAAGCTCTGTTCCATCTTCAATATATATATATATATATATATATATATATATATATATATATATATATGAGAATTTCTCCGATTTAACCAGTAGAGAAGACAATAATGAATAAAAATGAAATTAAACAAAGTAACTAATAAAAAAATAATAAAACTAATATGAAAATAATGTTTCTCTACATTCCAGTTGCTAGTAACATTCTGTTTTTGTTTTTATTAGTTACTTTGTTCATTTAATTTCATCTTCGTATTTTGCTTTGATAAAGTCCACATTGGACGAAACGCGTCAGCAATTACCAGTTTTCCTATTGTCATTTTTATTCATATATATATATATATATATATATATATATATATATATATATATATATATATTGCACATATAATACTGTGTTCAATGTAATACAACAAATTTATTAAATCTATATTAATAAATATACATATTTACCACCACTTGTAAAACCCCGCGGAGTTTCATACAAAACGCAATATTCAAGTGCTTAGTATAGACTGGCCATTATGTAATTCACATTTTTTAAAATATCGTATCGTAGTGTTGGCGTAGATATTTATTGTACTGGGATTACAGTTTTCACAAACGCGCACACACACACACACCCACACACACACACATATATATATATATATATATATATATATGATCTTATTCTGTAAAAGTATGCAAGAAGAAAAATGTTTTTATTTTCAAAAGATAATTTGTGCTCTTCTATTTAATTAGTTGCCACAAAATAAAAATGAGATGAGGAAAAAGACAGCATATTGCCGGGTCAAGATTTAGACTGTGAGAGCTATTTTCCACTCTAGTAGCACGCTTAAATTAATGTAATCGAGACACGAAGAAATGAAGTCGGTGGAAAGTACATAACATTCACGAATCTCGGGATATATCATAGGAAATCTGTTGTAGTAAAGAAAAGACTGTGAACTGATCGTAGCAACTCCTATAGATTTCTTGTTTCTCGGCCGCAACACTTGTAGCCAAATCGCAGTTCACACGATAGTCCAGCGTAACAGTCCAAAACACAACGTAGAAACGACAAAATGGGGTCACACATCCAACCTTCACTTCTCACCAACAACGACGCGTGTTCGTTTCACCAAGCTAAAAAAAAAATCATCTTTTATAAGCGGAAAACAACGACTTCTGTTCACCGAGAGCAGCCCTAATCTATTAAAGCGGTACGAGTTATTCCATTGATGCGCACCTTAATCACAAGGAGCGCCTCTTTCATGCTTGGTGCGGGGAAGAGACCGGCGCTGACGTCGCGTCTCGCCACTCCATTTCCCGGACACTTAGAGGCAATATGACCTACTTTATGACATTGGAAGCATCGTAGATCGAGACGTGCCTTTCGCGCCGACTCGCTGCGCAATTCTTCGCGTTGATAGCGGCAAAATGATTTGGCCCAGAGCACCGATAGCAGGTGGCAACGCCATGGCGACGGACGGCTGGGGTCGGACCTTTTTTGACTTCAATTGGCTGAACGACTACAGCCACTGGTTCATCAGCCTCTTTTTCGTCGATCATGATAGCACGGGCTCTAGTCAACAATTGATTGAGCGTCAGGTCTTCCATTCTGGATGATGTGTGGAGTATCTGCTTAACATGACTAGGCAATCCAGACACGAAGGCACAGGTCATCCATTCTTCAGGAAGCGGTGCGATTGGAACGGCGAGCTTCTTTAATTCCGCCAAATATACGTCTACTGTCTCGCCAGGACGCAGACGCCGCACTTGGAATTGGTCGTAGGCCAGGAACCGGTCAGTTCCAAACGCGGTTAGTAGAGCGTGCTTTATTTGCTCAATGTCACTTTTCTGTTCTTTCTCAGCTGCCTATACACAGCAAGGGCGCCGCCTTTCAAGCGCAGTGGAAGAATCCGATCAATCTTCGATATCTCGCATAATTCGCAGACCAGTTCCACCTTTTCGATCCATTCAACCACAGACAGTCCACTCGTATCACCACTGAATTCGGGGATCAGTTTTATGTCGAACGGTCTTTCCGCCATCTTGCTAGAGACAAAGTAAATGCCGAAATAGCTTCTAGTCATTGATGTAGATTTTTGCTCACTACTTTTTGGTAATTTTTCTTCGGCAGATCGCACACAAAACACGAACTTTTTTTC